AAGCTAAAATACCCTTCACAAATAAAACAGCATTTGTACAAAAACTGTATTTTGATTGGTTAGCTTGTATGACAGCTACAAGTATATGCTATAGTGGTCCGATCTGAAAATTTTATTCGGCGATTGTAGCGTTGGCCTTAAAAATAATTTATACCGAATTTCGTGAAGATATCTCGCCAAATAAAAAGGTTTCCCTTACAAAGAGATGATTTTAATCGATCAATTTGTTTGGCAGCTATATGCTATAGTGGTCCGATATCGCCGATTCTGAAAAATGTGCCGCTTTTTGTTGAAAAAAGTATATGTGCAAAATTTCAGATCGATATCTCAAAAACTGAGTACAGTACATACGGACATTGCTAAATCCACTCAGCTCATGAAGCTGATCATTTATATATATATTTTATAAGGTCTTCGACTTTTGGATCTTACAAACTTCGTGAGAAACTTAACATACACTGTTCAGGGTATAAAAACAGTTTACAGAGATATTTGTATGAAAATTTTGCGCGCGTAAAGGTTAAATATCAAAAATAATTGGAAATGTGTAATTTATTTGACGAAAAAATTTAAAAAGAAGGCAAGAGATAGCAAAGAAAATGAAAACAACTACAACTTGACACTTGTACGAGTGTAAAAGGGTCAAAGATTACGCTTGCGCTGTCGAATTATTTAGCGCAAGCGTTTGGCTAATGGGAAAATCATGATTTTTTCTCCAACTACTATGTGTGACTTTACTGCCACCGACGGCACATTTTTCATATCTCTAAAGATAAATAAAAATACAAAAACAAAAACAAAAATACTTTGAAGGCACCTTAAACAATTGCCCGCTCTCAAGTCAGTAAGTCTCAGCGGCCTTTGCTTGTTTAAAACAGAAAAAAAACATATTTCCTTTCAGTAAAATACTGTTGTTGTTTTTAGTTTTGTAAAGCTAATTTTCTTCTTCGTCTAAAAATAGCTGAATGGGCGAAGATACTTTGCGCCCTCTTTTAGAACTGTTGTAACCATTTCAATAACTGTAGTTGGTAAGTTTTTGTGGCTCTAAATTTGTTGTTTTGTATTTTCTGTTTGTCTTTCTCTGCTTTAACCGAGACTAATTCATCAGCATTGCCACTTCTTATTTGCTTCCACTTATTAGTGGACCTTCTGTTTATTTGTTAAACAATATAAACACACAATAACACACATACATGTATTGTACATGCATATATACATAGATATACATTTTTTGCTCTAAGTGCATCTACTAAGTGACCTAAATACTTGCTTAAGTAGTAAATATGATTGCTTGTATTCAAGCCAATGGCATCGGTAAATATTTGGCTTGCAGCTTAACGTCTGGGTGATAGATGGTTTGTGGTTGAGATTCTGATGTTCTTGGTGAATTTTCGAAACTTGCTTAGAGAGAAAAGAACTCATTGCCATTTAAACTGATTTGTTGGGTAAAAAGCCGAAAATATTGCCATCTAACTAAAAATTATCGATTATTTTTTTCTAACAAATCCTAGTTGTGAAAATTAATTTTTTTGACAATTTTTTGTTTTTATTTTCAATGGTAGGTCATTGTACGGACAATTCCTTCTAGTATAGGCTTTATCCACGGAGAAGGCCGCAATCACTGCAGCCGTGGAGCACCTTTGTTTTTTAATTTCTTTCTTAAAATATTTTACTTTGTATTTTTTAAATATGTATGAATATACACTTACAATTTTAAAACAATTGGTGCAGTATTTTGTTTTTTAATTCTCAAAAGCTGTTTTTTAAGGCTCTCACACTATGGGAATATGTAAAATTAGTTGTATCTAGAAGATTCTTACTCTAATAAGTTGTATACATTTGGAGCATTTTTATCGTGGAGCAGAAAAGTCAGAGAGTTTAAACCAAACAACAATTAACATGTTAATATGTACCAATGGATCGACGGCTAAAACAGGCTTTAACAACAATTTAATCATAGAATAAAATGGGATGAACAAATCATATATGTATGCTATTAAAAAGCAAGGATAATTCTTCTACGATTTTCTATTAAAACGTATGCTCGTTTATCGATATAAAGCTGGTAGGAACAAAGAATCTGTATTTAAAAATATCATACTGAAATTCCCATCCTATACCCCTTATACCGTTGAAAATGTTCCAGATGTGTTTTGGTGAGTGAATTTTATTACGAACACAAGTATTTAAGTGGCACAAATCATTCAGTAAGGGTCGTGATGTCATCGAAAACTTGCCTCATGCGAGTCGTTTATCCACCGCTGTTAATGACTATAACATCGAAAACTAAAGAAACAGTACTTGAAAAACCTCGTTGATTTTACACCATTGATATTACAACATTTCATAGGCTCTTAATACTTCTCACACGCTTTCTGTTTAACCTCAAAAAGTTTTTCTTCTCCTGCTAATTATTTTCTTATATATTCTCTCTTTTGTATGTTGTTTTGGAAACTGCTGTCGGGATTGTGCCTTCTACCTTCGTTACTAACAAAAGCCAATTTGTATTTGATCTTCAGTATGTGTTTTTTGGTTTTTGTTTTGGTTTTCAATATTAACACGAAATCGAGTACCTGTCAACCACTTTCATTGGCTTTTCGTTCCATCGTGCGATCAATAGCTTTCGCTTAGCTGGATGATAGCCTAACGAATTGGGTATTTATTTATTTCGAGCCTCTTCCAAAGCTTTTATAAGTAATGGATTTCAACGAATTAAATTGTTGGTATTGCTTATACATATTTGGGAACTGAGTAATTTTTGTTTAAAAGAAATTGAAATATTTGATAATTGATTTTGTATGTATGTAATTTTATTGAATTTTTGAATTTCGGTGAATAAAATGGAAAGTGCTACGAATGCACTAATATGAGCTGAATAATTTCATTACTAAGCGTACGTACATATATGTATATATGTTTTTACATATGTATATACTGGTATACACTTTTTTAAAAAATAACATACTTCTTATTGCTCCTTTTTTGTTGTGGTTTGATATAAATACCTAAACATATTAGGTTCAGATAAGCGATTCCTTAACACTAAAACTTAGAGATAGAGATAAGTAATTCCTTTGCCATACATCACAAGTTTTAACGTCTAGTAGTAAGAAATGTATGAAAATTCGTTTTTCAGTGTAAAGCGATATTGATTCCTTAAAAATATTTATAATATATTTAACAATTTTATATTATATTATTAACATATTTATCTAGAATAAAACAAATATTTGTTTGAAAAATTTTCCTGGTATTTTTGTTCTCTAATCCGACACACACACCGATTTGGTTGGAGTGTGACAGAAAGACAATTAAACCAACCAATCTATTCGGCTACAGAGCACATTTTTAAAGTAAAAATATATACTTATATTCCTCTTGAAATTCTTGAGTCAGTTAAATAAGCGAAAGAAAAATCTTTCTAAATCTACACCATTATTTTCTGACAGTGTGAAAGCAAAGAGAATATATATGGTATAAAACACTTCTCATTAAATCCATGTAATATACGTATTGATTTTATTTTTTATAGAAACTGTAATTTTCGGTATAATATCTAGAAAGAAGTTCCGCTAAATATTTAGAGAAAGTGTACTTAAGCACAATTCTATAAAAGCAATTAGTAGAATTCCAGTAATACCATGCAATTGAGTAATTAACTAATTGACCAATTAGTACTTAATTGACAATAAATTGATGTTAACAGTTTGTATTCAACTCTGTAAATTGTCTTGTATAATAAAAGGAAAGTGACAAAACTAAAACTTTTTGTTGTAATAATACAATCTACAAGTTATCAGCTGATTCTTTCTTTTCCTGTAATAAGTAATAAAATACAATAAACTCGATTTGTTTGGTTTACTACAAATAAGCAAAATTTAAAAAAACATGTTAGGCAGCTTTCAAAAATTAATTAAAATTAAGCTAGAATACGTTTGAACACCAAACACCATTTGAGTTAATTTACGACTTAATTGTTTTAGCTAATAGAGCTGTTTAACTTCTGAAGCCAAAATACTATTTTTTAACGTGTCATCGCAAGTTAATTGACTAGCCTATTGTATATACATAATTAATGAACAGATTAAAATCATTATACAAAATAATGTTTAAGGAGAACATTTTACACATAATCTACATACTAAGCCACATAACTCCAAGTTGACCTTAAACTTGCGACATCTAATTTATTATTTTTATAAATATTCTTTCAAGGCATTACTTTTAACTAAAGTACCGTCAAATCTCAATGAAAAGGTTATAAATTTGGCGTAATTGTGGATTTCCTCATTAAACATAAAAAAGTCGTGTGATAAATAGTAAAAAAATCGTGAGACAAAAAATTAATATCAGCGCCAAAATCCAGTCGGGTGTCAATGCAATGGTGGTAGCGCCGAACCAAACTCGACAATCCGGTAATGTGCTGATATTGAAAATTTTGAACAAATGTAGAAAAAGGCACGCAGCAGTCAACTATTTAGCTATTCAAGCATAGCCCATGGCGTGAGTTGAGAAAAACTTGAATGCGGAGCGCGCCAAACATATAGAATATGCCATAACTTTGAATTAACACATAAGCGCATATATATAAAAGCTATACATATATATATATATATATATATAAACAAATATCTAAATAGTTGTATGGATTGCGAAATTAGTTAATGGTGCCTTGTGTGCGCGCTGTGGTGACGGGCTTTTTAGCGGTACCACCTTAAATTCCTAGACAAAACATGAGAAATTAGTTTTTACACTCGCCTTTGCCGCTTTTGAGCGCAGAATTCTTTTGGAGCGATGACACTAACCACAACGGCGGGCATTTATATGTTCAGTTATTTGATTTTTTGCTATCTTCTACCTTCGTATAGAAAAAAGTATATGTATATAGTATGTGTGCTCTTTCAGCGTATTAAGAATAATTGTTGCAGAAAGAGCTTGTCATAGGATGTCAATAATTGACTGCCTTTAGCAGCGTATAAATAAACGATTAAGCAACTTACCGCGCTAATAAATCCGCTTTGTGTGGTTCTCTGCTTCTTACTTGCTTTCTGTACTTTGTGGAATTGTTGATTTGTTCTTTTTTGTTGTTATAATTTATTTAGTTTTTATGCTTTTGCTGCGAGATGATGTATATGACGTATTGTTTTTCTTTTCGTTTTTTTTTTATTTCTAATACTCTAAGCTGTAAAATATATTATGATTTTTATTTATTATGGTTTTATGATTACTTATTTTTATTGGCGTTTGAACGTAGCAAATTTTCGCTTCACAATTTTAATGTGCAAATGCCAATCTGTTATTTTTATTGCCTATTGTCTTGTGTATTTGTCATACACATAGAGTAGTTAATTTGAGTATTATGCTATTTATAACTCAATAAAATAAATTTCTATTGAGCGTAAATATTAAATTTGTCTGCTTTATGTCATAAAAATAATATTTATTTACATATGTATGTTAAAGATGCTGCTACCTTCATACTTTGCAATTCAACTATTGGAACTTTTATTATATAAAGCTATGATTTATTATTGATTTTCAGGCACTAGGCGTTTTTGTTTTTATATTTATATTGCTAATTTATTTATATTGTGTTTTATTTTAATATATTACCTCATTTGATTATGTAAAAGCTCATCAGTTTTCTATTATTTATTTCGCTATTATCTGCAGATTAATAAAAATTTTTTTTTCTTCATATTAATAATCGGAATTAATTTAAAAATGTTACTAAGCTTAAAAAAAGTAAGAAGTATAACATTTTTTCATAAGTTTTTTTAGATTAATATCTAGATGCAATTTTTTTTTAAATTTAAAATTGAAAAAATTATATTAATTAGTATATCTTTTTTAATGTTTTTATATAATATTTTGTCCTTAACTATAAGCACATATTTTTTATTTCAGTTCAAATTTTAAAAAACATTATTTCTATTCTTTTAAGATTTTTTATTAAAAAATTTATACTTTAAAATTTTTATTGTATTTTTGTTTTTAAGTTGTGTTGATCTCTATTAAACTTCAAGAAAAATTTTTGTTTTTGTTAATTTTTTTAAAACAGAAGACTATTTAAGTTGAGATTCGTTAAGTTTTTATATAAAAACTCTTAAAAATATGCGACCAAATAATCATTGAAAATTTTCGCAGAATAGATAGTAAAATCAGATCTCTGAAGACATATTTCCCTTATAAATAAAAGAGGCTAATGAAGAATTCAATCTACTAATGGCATTGAAGATTTTTGTTGATATTTTTGAATAAATTTTGTACGAAAAATTCCGAGAATTGCTGTAAACAATAAAGCCTTGCTTGTTTTGAATATTCTTTTATATTAAATTTACTGAAATTTATCTTCACAGTGTATTAGCAAATCTATTACATTTTATAATTATTACTGAAGCTTTATTATTACAGAAAAAAATAATTTCATTTTTCAGGTTTTAAATTTTTAAGTTAGAAAAATTCATCAGAAGTTCTATATTATTACAATAAAAGATTGAAAGATTTGATTATTTACATTTTCTGAATATCCAAAATGATTTATGTATCGTAAATATAACTTTTCCTGAATATTTCTAATGAAATATTTTAAAATTGAAAAAAAAATCTTTAACTTTAATATTTTTTTGTGTAGATTTGTTTTTCCTTTTTAGGGATAATTTTGAAATATTGTCAAATATCTTATTGTTAACTATTTTAACTTTTTCTCTTTGAAATTAAAATTTGTTAAACTGAAATTTCTCTCTACTTAAACATTTGCAAATAACTTATTAATGTCAATTAGTGCTTTTCAAGTTCGTGTCTTAAGTCTTTTATAAACATTTGTATGCGACTTTTATTGCTTTACCATATATTGAGTGCAATTTTTCACAAAATTATAATAGAAGCATGTAAGTATGTATGAGTATTTATCATTATTTGCAAGCAGTTTGTGCCTTCTTAGAGTCCGTTATATCTTATACTTACAAGCACAGTCTCTTTTCCCCCTACGATGCTGTAACGCTAGAAGGTTACTGCTTTGGAATGTTCGCTCTAAATTATCTTTTTTTCTATTTGACTTTCTTTTGCTGTTTATAAATAAATACTCATTTATATACTCTGTGTTTGCATTTCTTAATCTGAAGGCTTTACAGCAGTGTTGGTTTGTGGCTGTTCGTTGTACTTTCTTGTGGTTTGCTTTTAACACTTGCACTCCATATACTTGAACACCACCTGATTTTCTTGCGCTTCTTTAATTACACAAGAATTATTCATGCTTTCCACTACTGTCCCGTTTTTCTCCTCCTTCTTGCACCCGTTGCGTTTTATGTAAATTTTTTTCAATTCTAGTTCTCTTGGTACTATTTTCGCTGCATCTTTATTTTCTACACTTCTACGAACACACACAAAAGTACATATGTATATATGTGTGTTATTCTTATTTTATATCTCTTTGACACGAAAGCCGCTTGTCCGTAAGCGAGGCGAAGTTGAAAAAATGTAGACAAACAAGTAAACTTTAGTGTGACTCCGTGCCTTTAAACACTCGTCGCACCGTAAATATCAAATCACTGCAACAATAACAACGCCGTGATAACGAATACTGCAAGTAAGCGTGTTGCTTGCAACAAAGTCGAGTCGAGTAGCAACCAAGTAAAATAAAACAAACACTGGAAACTGGATAACACAATACAACAATAAAAAAAATCGCACTTGCCTTGCTGCCGAAGAACCCGCTGCCGTCGTTTACACTATGAAAGTCACTCGCGAACTGAACTACTCGCCAACCTCCAAGCGCCGTTGTGGCATCATCTAGCGCTCATTTCTTTAGTACAACCAGTCAGCCGCTGGCAGACATATCTCGCACACATAAAACCACTTTGGCCACCGCTTTTTTGGCTGTGAGAGTCTGCTGCCGTTTCAAAACTCAGTCTAAGTTGCTGTTGAATTTGCTTTTCTCTGCGTTGTCTGAATAGCATGGCAGGTGGCATCGCAACACTGTGGAGCGCCTACGAATATAAATTATTTTAATATTTATTTTAGGCAAACAATTTTCTTATTTTTTTACCTTTTTGTTTTTTTCTTTTTCTAATCTAATCTTGGTAGTTTTTGATTAAACAATTAGTGCTTGAGAAATACTGAATGGTAACGATGTAACTGTAGAAGATGCGAAATGTGTATCTGCTGCTTTATAATATTCCAACAAGAAGTAAACTAAATTTTTAAAATATCTACTTGAAAAAAGTCAGAAAAAAGAGATAAATAGTATTGATTTTATACTTTATACTAGCAGAGCTGCCACGATTCGTAGTGCGCTTACTATAATATTTTTGGTCTGATCACTCTCATTTCAGTACAAAATTAAGGTTCTTCCACAATATTGAAAAAACAACTCACAATACTTTGTCTAAAGTTAGGCAAGGTATTAAGACTGACACTGTATTAAAAATATTAACTTTCTTTCAGTATTTTTCCAGACGCACAAAATAATTACTTAAATCATAACTGGCTTAGTACTCAGTCTATAATTAATTTCGATAATAATATTTTTATTATATTAAACAGCTTACTCAAATATAATTTAATTACAACTTAGCCACAGCAAGGCGTGGCTGGGGTCTTCTAGTGAGCTATAATTTCCAAATAGCTACATTATATTTTCAAAAATATATATACATATAAAATACACCACTGTAAGCGCTGTTGCTCTAAGAACTAGTTTATCAACATTGGGAGTAATACTCCGCTTGACTCCATGTTGTAAAAGGTGCTGTGATCTCTTGGCGCGAAGTGTACTAAACGTGCCAGCTTAAATAAAAGTAAACACAAATTTGGTGTACTAAAAATACTCACTTTAATGTCGCTACTAATAAACGCGCGCGCACATTAACACACATAGGTGCACACAAAGCCATGGCCGGTTGTGAAATTATGAATGAGTGGCGACCGCGACAAGAGGCTGCAATGAAAAGAAGGTCTTTCTCTACGCCAGCGCGCTTTTTATTTTCATTGTTTATTATTTGTTGTTGTTTTTCTTGCAGTAACTTTCTATGCGTTACAAAGACTCAAACACACACACATTTGAGAGCGCGCTTTGGTGTACACTTTGTTTGATTCGCATGCGAATTCCCTAGCAAGTTCGTTGCTTAAGTCTTTTGTTTGACGCATTTTCGCTGCCCATCAACATTTTTCTCAGCAACAAACACAAGTGAAACATTTGTATTCGTCGTCGATTTTTTGTGCGTTTCCTTGCACTCTGTTTTTTCCCGAACCTTTCCGTTTGTTTGGCGTTTCTCATTTCACCTGCTGTGCGATATGTGTGTTGTTGTTGTTACTGCTGATGCTGGCGCTGCGTTGAAGTTGGTATTTGTAATTCACGGCACTTTATTGATTTACTGCGTGAATGCGCACATTTTCGGTAATGCGACTTTTGCTCTTGTTGTTGGCTCGAACAATGCATTAAAACATATGGTCGACCTGTCTGTCATTGTAGGTGTGTATGTGTGTGTGTTTGCTTTATATTATATTTAAACTCGCGTGTGTTTGTGTTGGTGGCATGTCATTTACCTTGCCACGCGTTTCACATGCCCGGTTGGGCATTACGAGGCTCCGCATGGCAAAATCCGATTGCGTTAGTTGTTGTCATTGTTTTTAGGACTTTGCTTTTTGCTTTGCTATTAATTCACCGGTAATCGCCATGCTGGTGACATGGTAATTAACTATTTTTATCTCAACGTCATTAATTCCGTGGGTATTTTTTCAAATGCGTTAGAAAAGGGGCAAACAAATTGTGCTTGTCGCGCTTATTATTACAATCAACATTTAACCTGTGTGAAATTAGTGGAAAATATGATAAAAAGTGGATGAGAAGGGTACGCGCATTTGCAGACTGTTAGCAAAAAAGGCTATTCATTTTAAATTTAGTATGGTTACTATAAAAAATGATATGACAATAATTTTTTCTCCGATTTGTTATACTTACCTAAACATTAAAGCTTCTAACTGTAATTGAAACACCCTCCCGAAGCTATAACACCCTCCACAGGTGCATTTTTTATAGCATAAAAAGAAAATAGATATATTATTAACTTGATGTTGATCGTTCAGTTGGTATGGCAACTATATGCGATAGTCGTCGGACGTAAATAATTCAAATAATTTTTGAGATTACAGCCTAGTCTTAGGCAATAGGCTTTACCAAATTTCGTGAAGATATCTCGCCAAATAGAAATGTTTTTGAAACAAGAACTCTATTTTAATCTATCTATTTGTATGGCAGTCATATGCTATAGTAGTCCAATATCGGCAGCTTTGACAAGTGAGCCGCTTTTTAAGGAAAAAAGAACGTGTGCAAAATTTCAGATTGATATTTTGAAAATTAAGAGACTTGTTCGCATATATACAGGCAGACAGATGGACATGGCTGAATCCCCTCAGCTCGTCACGCTGTCCATTTATATACAGGTTGGTTGAAAAGTGAGTTACGCTGATCATTTATATACAGGTTGGTTGAAAAGTGAGTTGTTCTCACCAATATGTACCACTACAAGCCCCAAATTTTTTTTCCCAAGTTGTTACAAGTCATTCGGTCAATTAATTCCTTGTTTACAAGCCATTTGAAGTTGACGTGTCAGAGTATTTTTTTAATATGGAAAAAATTGAACATCGTGCAGTGATTAGATAATTTGTTTTGAAAGGTTTAAAAGCAAAAGAAAATTTATGAGCAATTCTTTGAATTATATAAGGAGCCTCATCTTCAAAACACACCAGTGAATTTAAACGTGGTCGCTGGTCGTACTAGGCTTAAGGACGATTCACGCGAAGGACGAACAAAAACCGCAACCACACCAGAAATCATTGAGTAAGTTCATAGGTTCAAAGATCCAAGTTTGACTAAGCGTGAAATTGCATCAGACGAACGATTACTTCATATTTTACTTGGAGAATTACATATAAAAAAGATGTTTTGAAAGTTAGTGCCGCACCCGTTAACAATTCAACAAAAACTAGATTGAAAAAAAATTTCTCAGCATAAGGAGCATTTTAAGCAGAATAAACCCGATCTCTTTTGTCGTTTTATAACTATGGATGCGACTTAGATCTACCACCATGATCCTAAATTGAAACAAGAACGTTTACAGTGGACTGAAGCTGGTTGTTCAGCTCCAAAGCAGGCGAAGTCACAAAAATCAGCAAAGAAGGTTATGGCATCATTTTTTTGGAATGCAAAAGGAATTTTGTTGACTGATTATCTGCAGAAAGGTAAAACAATCGACTCTGAATATTATTGCAGCCTTTTGGATCAGCTGGATGAAAAAATTTGTGAGAAAAGACCTGGTTGCGAGCACAAAAAAATTACTTTTCATCAAAACAATGCGCCTGCTCACAAAGGTGTATTAAAAATGACAAAATTCAACGAAGTACGAATTGCTTGAGCATCCACCGTATTCACCAGATCATCATCTTCAGAAATCTGAAACAATTCCTTCGTAGAAAGCGTTTTTCGTCGAGCAATTCGTCGTCGACAACCATTCATTAATATTTACATGGCGAAAGACTTATTTTTTACAGCGTTTGCTTTCTTTTAATAAATAATATAGGAATTTTGCATATTTTGATTAGTTGAAAGGAGACCGTATATAGCTTTGCTTACTTAACGGTTTTTTGTAACATAACATAGCAAATCGGGGTATATAACATATAGAGTTTTATGTGTATATCAAAATGATCATAATGGCGAAGCCAGTTCCGGTTGTCTCTCTTTCCATTCGTCGGTCCATGCTAGCGGTAATTATCGCAGATACTTTGATGAAACTTATCTCATACTGTACCGTTAAAGAGAAGTTATTTTAATGAAGGGAATGTTACACTTAGCATGCTCAGCTTTAGTGCAAAAAAAAAATGAAAATGATGAAAAGAATCGATCATCAACTTGTCTTGGATCCATATAGCTTGACTATATACCATATATGTATATGATAATATTGTGGGACATCTCAATAAAATAAATTGTGGTTAATACCAAAAGTATGTGATATCAGTTGCTTATGGGAGTAAAGTCGGTTCAAAAGTTTGCTGAGAAACGAATTTTGAATTTAATGTTGCTAACTTGTTAAAAAAAATCTCATTGCAGACAGATGGAATTATTTCACACGCTTACTCTGCTTACGAAGGTAGCCGTTCCTTACTTATTTTAGTTTATCTTTAAAATATATACTGTTTTGCAGTAAAAATTTTGGAAAGCATATACGAAATTTTTTCAGTAAATAAGGTAGGATTTGCTTGATCACAAGAGCTTTGATATTTTTAAAATTTTTGTAAATTTTATATATACATTTTTGTCATTCCATTGTTCTTAAATAAAAAATAATCCCTCCTAATTGTGGTTTTTGTTGTTATGTTATGTATTATTTACCTAAAAGTTCAATTTGTAATTATAAATACCTATATATTTTCTACATACATATACATACAAGTATACATGTATACATATACTACTCGTATATCGCATTAAATTAAATGCACTTGTTGATGCCAGAGCAACGACTACTGATCTTCCGGTTATTTGCTGCTGCTACTGCTGATGTATGTACCAACGGCTGCTGACAACACCATCGCAGTCCACTTGCATAAGCGCCTGCGCAATAGTAAACAGTAGCCGTGAAGTGTACTCAAGCTTTGTACGCACATCCACAATATACTACTACTATATATATATCAGATCTAAACACTTATGTATGTAAATTGTGGCAAAATGCAAATTATTATGGCAACCAGACTGGACTGACAGCAACACGAAAGTTGGTTGGGCGATTCTGTGCAACAATTGAATGCACCATTAGCATTTCTTGAATTAGAAAATATTGCTGCAAGAAATTTCGCAATTGCAAAGCAACACAATTATATACAAGCGCCTGGCCAACGCAGCATATGCAATAATAATTACAAAAACACTGCTGGCGCGAAAAATATGTAAGAAATGCAAAGTGAAAAAAATTATTGCAGCTGAGCGATGTAATCCACCAAAGGTTGTGGTGGAGAAAACAAGTTTACCTTGATTGGGCTGATTTAAGACAACCTGTTGGGACGAGTTTCCAGTGGAGATGCTGTTTGTTGTAGTTGTTATTGCAGGAATGCTGGTGCCATTTTCATTTTAATAAAATTATCATTAATTTTATTATTGTATGTTTATTGTTTATTGCAAAAGTTGTTAGAGTGGACCCACAAAGAGCAGCGGCTCTGGCTTCGGGGGGCACAGACTTGTGTCATTCTCTATAAAACCTAATAACAATTGGTTATTAAGAGTTAAACAAAATAGTAGAAAAAAATTTGAACAGGTTCACCAACCAACCTGCCGACTGTCTGTCCGCCTAATCGGCAATTTGTTAGAGCCAACGCGTCGACTCTTGGAGATTGATGTGCCACTGACATTGCAATTGCAACAATAAACAAACATTTCATTTGCTTTCGAAAGCAAAGTGAAAAACCGGCTAGTTTAAGCACTTTGCTGTTTGTTGGCGATTTGTCAGCGTCTTCTTCACGCTTTATGTTATCGCCACGCGAACAACTGCCGACGGGAAATGCTATTACGAAAAGGTATTAGGTTATTGTTGTCCAACTGCACAACATGTGGCTCTACATGCACACATTCATACACAAATACACTTGCAAACAAATTGCCAGGAAATGTGTCAAACCATAAATCTTCCACAACAAGTTTCGTTTTGATTTTCGATTTTTTTTGTTTTGTTTTTTTGCTTATGAGCTAGCGACCTAATTTGCGCGCCGAATTCGGGCAGAAGCAATAAAATGATAATGGCAGCTCATAAAAGTAGCAAACAAATATGTTTGTTTGTGCTCGACAGGTGTAAATATGTATAACATATTTGTATATTAGGGTGAGCCAAAAACTAATCTATCGAATTCAGCGGTTACAATATACCTATATACAGCGAAAAAATATCACTGCAAGGAAATATTTTTAGCTTAATTTTCAAATATGTTGATGAGCATTCAAAGTTTTTGTTCATTATGTTCATATAAAAATACCACAACTTTTGAACCGTTTAGAATAAATTTTTTTTTGATCGCGGATTCTTGTAGAGCTTACAATTTAATAAAAATATAAGTCAGCGGATTTTTTCTTTTAATTGAAGAAATCTTTCACTTTGAAAAGTGAAAAAATTAACATATAATTATAGTAATTAAAATTAATTAAAAATGTTCTTATTAAACAAAAAACCTGAATTAAAATATAATAAATTGTTAAAAATATCACTAATAATTCAGATTTGTAAAAAAAAGCATCTTATGTTACTCTTCTTCATTTTCTGCCCGATATTTCGGCGCAATATTTTAATTTTTTCACTTTCATAGCTTTTAAATATTAATTAAATATATCTGAATTGAAAAAAATCCAACTGAGGTAGGTGTTTAGTAAAATTTTTGCTCAACTAGGATGTGTAATAACAACTTATTTTTCCAAAAAGATTCAAAAGTTATGGTGCTTTTAATGATAACATTTTTTTCCGTGTTATTTATATAAGAAACTCTAAATGCTTATCGACACCTATACATATATATATATATGTATATAAATATTAAACCATAAATTCGATTGATTAGTTTTGGCTCACCTTAATATAAATACTGTTTTTATTTTTAACTTTCAGTATACTTCTATTTAACTGTAAGAACTCCTGTAGGTCTCACCTAACAGCGCTTCTCGAATTGCGTTCAACGTTCCAGCAGCTATCCCAAGAACACTCGAATACACCCATATTTATCACCTGCTTAGCTGTAATCATTATTGGTTCATTCAGCATACTTTTCCAACCGCTACGACATGCTGCAGCGCGCTGTTGGCGCTGAGCTAAGTATTTTAGCCACGCTTCAATGCCAACTCCGTAATTAGTCAATAATCACGCTAGAAGTACTTTTATACAATGCATAAATATAAAGGGTTTTAATTGGAGCGCTTGAAGTGTAGACTTATAACAGTCTGACATATAATTATTTAGATTTTAT